ATATATATTATATATTTGAATATAATCAGGTTGTGCTTTTATACCAATTAAATAAAATAATTGATTCAAGACTGTTTCTACCTAGATTGGCCCAGCCCTAAACCAAATTGAGGCCACTATAGTTATTTATTATTCTAAGTAATATAATTATTGTTATTTATTTAACAAAAAAGTAATTTATTTTATTATTGTATTTCCAAATGTCATTTTTGTATTTCACCCCTCCAAATCCGCTAGTTTATGTTTATACTGCACATATTAATGGAATAGGAGGATATCCTATAAATATGAATTCACATCTCCACCCCAAAAGGAGCCACCCCACAATGCCCCACAGCACATCTCTGTTGAGTATTAAAAACATCTCCTGATGATAATACCACTCTCAATCCCGATGATATCATCATTGGGATATATTTTCTAATGTGCTGTGGGACGTTGTGGGGCGGAGATGTAAACTCGCCCAGGCACCTATATGGTGTTAGTGTATTTTTAAAAATAAATGGCAATGGTCCCAAGCACCTACTGAATGAAAAGACTGTCGAGAGATATGAAGGGGATAAGGTAGAAGAAGGGTAACTGTGCCATTTTCCATTGGCTGAATTAACTCAAAGAGATGAATTTAAACTTTGGAAGTCTTTGAATTGATGGGACCAGTGGAATATACTCGTATCTCCCCGATAATACAATGAAACACCACCATTGATACAATAAAGCACTTCCATTATCCATGGTCCAAGCTATATGGGATTTTGAGAGGGTGAGAGGGTTCGGATCTGACTCAGCTTATGATACCCGTTGATTGGTTACAAGTAGTAATTAAACTAGGTGTAGGTGTAGGTGTAGGTGTGGATAAATAAAATTGAAAAACTAATAAAAGTCTGGACTCTGGACCGAAAATTTTATTCAAATCCGGTTTACTTTTGTTACCCTGTCAGTCCGACTCAGCTTAATTGAATCAATATTATTCTCATCTTTTGACTCTGAGTTAGTTAGTAGGCCATCCTCTCAATTGTCACCGAGACGATTTCTCACGAATCACGATATGTCTGTCTATTTATAGCTGTTTTGAAGAAATCATTTTTTGACTGAGTTCGCAGACAATCTGATTTGCAGGTTCAAATTTTCCATATGATAATTGATACGTCTGGCATGGAACATGTATCGTTTTTTCTCTCCGAAATGTCTATTTATTGGTGTTTTCGAGAAATCATTTTTTAAAATTATAATATATATATATATATATATATATATATATATATAGGAATTACTTTTGTTGTACAAGGTTCAATTGTGCAACTCCTATTAACTTTTCTTTTTTTAATGCCTTACGTATCAAAGAAATTTTGCAGCTCCTATTAATTTATTTTAAATGCTTCATACATAAAAAAATGGTGCAGCTCCTATTATCTTTTCTTTTTCAAATGTCTCAAGCGTCAAACAAGTTGTGCAGCTCCTATTGATTTATTATTATTTTTTTAAATGACTCAAGCATCGAAAAAATTGTGCAGCTCCTATTTTCATTACTCTAATTCATAGTTTTATACTATGTATTATAAAATATTTTTTTATTATTTATTTTTTCACAATATAGTTATTAAATGGGTATTTTTAATAAAATATTTATTTTATGTGTTTATATATTGATTTCTTTTTATTATTTTTTATTTAATCAATATAAACATTGCTAAATGTTGTTAAACTCGAAAGACTTTAAAACCGAATCAATAAATAAAGTAGAAATTAAAAAAAATAAATTAATAAAAATTGCAGAATTAGTTGCTTAAAAATTGTATATTAAGAGTTTTGCTTTGACCAAACCTCCTTTTTTTATCTTTTATTTCAATCGTTTATATATTTAATTTTGACAAGAACATTACACCATTAGCTTTTTGGTGTCTGATTGTGACAAGGGCATCACAAGATATGAATTATTAAGTTGGATAGGGTTGGGTTAAGAGGGAGGCAAATACATAATGAACCCAACTGGTTGACATTCCTAGATAGTGGAGAATTAAGTTCAACTCCAACTTGGCCTTTGTTGTTCCTTGGTAAAGTGAACAAAAAAATCCAATTAAATCATGTGAATTACTTTTTGCTAAGGCTTTTAATGAACAAAAACGAGATTTTAAAACTTTGAAGGATTATATTGCTATTTTCCATCACGATTCAAGAAATCAATGGAAGGGGGTGTGTTTGCATTAGACCTATTCATGGGCCGGGTGGCCCGACCCCCAGATGGGCTTGAACAGGTTTTTTGGCCCGCGGGATTAACCTCAAGCCAAAAAGCCCGGTCCACATAAAATTCGAGCCGGGCTCGAGCTTTGCCAAAATAGCCCGGTCCAAGTTCGGCCCGGCCCGACCTATAGTTAAACCTAAGTAAAAACCCTATGTGCTGTCTATTTGAATAAATTTTTTGATTTGAGAAGGTCATTGATTCACTTGTAGGCTCATTGTTCATTTTAAATAGGAGAAAAAACATCTAAATTAAAATAAAAAATGTCCATTTGAATAGGGGAAATTTTGAATTTCTTTTATTAGGTTGGGCTTCGGGCTCGGGCTCGGGCCTAACAGTTTTTTGTTAGTAAAGAGTCAAAGCCCGGTCCGGCCCATGAACAGGTCTAGGTCTAGTTTGCATATCTATCTATATACTATATAAAATGGATACTTGTTTTAGTTTTGGTGTAAGTCATGAAAGTTAAATTTGATTTTATAATGTTAATTTATGTTTTTACCTTTTACTTGCACATATGTATAGTGCGTGTCCTTAAACTAGTTTATTTAAAACATGAAGGTATTTCTTAGGTCTGTTGATGGTTTAAGTTCGGGCTTAGCTTTTGACAAAATTTAGGGTAAATTACATATAGGTACCTTATACATTGGGGGTAGTGACACTTGAGGGCCTAAACTTTCAATTGTAATAATTTAATACCCCACTAAACACCTATTTAATGTTAAGATAATAATGAATTTACGAAACACCTATGTTTAGATTTTCTTTTTCATCTCTTTTGCCATGGGATGTAAACAATGGTGGAAAAAATTTTGGTGGGCAATGCATTTGCATATGTATAAAAACCAACCAAGGTTCAAAGTATCAACACGCATCGGCCCATATCAACTGATACGTATTGTTCCAGGAGCTCTCCGATATGCCCCTATAGAGGGTGTATCGGGGTTCTGACCGGTTCAGGGGGTGGAGGAGCCTTAAATCGGCCCCCCTCAACCAATTTTGAAAAAAAAAAAAAAGTATCGATATCGCCCGATATACCCCTACCGACATATCGGACATATTGATATTTTAAACCTTGAAACCAACATGTAAGCATTGTTTAGTATTTATCTATTCTCGTTGCCTGAAAGTTTCATTAGAGAATTCAAATGTTTTTGTTTGTTTAGTTGTAAACATTAAATATGGGCATTTTAGTAATTTTCACCCTCACTGTGATACCGATTTAACCCTAATTTAGAGAAGTTAGACTTAAGTGTATATTGATGAAAGTCCAAGGTATTAAAATTTCACTAACCAAAGTTAGTTAAGCTATATGTAATTTAACCCAGAATATTATTATTGAGAACAAGACGATAACGATTCAGGGAAGTGTTTTGCATTTATTTTTAACAAACCACGTCATAGGGGCCTAGGGTGAAGATCATTCACATTGCATCAGCTCCACATCGAAACCGTTGATCTTTTTTATCTTTTATCTTTTTTTTTTTTTTTTTTAATTCTAAATCTTGTTATCATTTTGGCACATCAGCTCTACATCAAAACCATTGATCCATCCATGCCAAGGTTATTAAAACCGGATTGGACAGGAAACCGTTTTGGGACCCGTTCTTGGGGTTGAATTGTCCGACCATCTGGTTTGAATGGATGGTCTGTTCTGATTTAAAAAATAAAAATAATTAAAAATCATTTTCCGGTCAGGTCAAGGGATTGCTAATCAAATCAACGGTTTTTAACCAAAAAGCAACTTTAAAATGAAACAGAACTGATTACCTAATTGATTCCCGGTTTTTTGGTCCGGCCATCCGGTCCGATTTTGAAAACCATGATCCATCCATTATTTTCTCTCTCCTCCTTTATATATTTGCACGTAAATTTACACGTGGCGATCAATTAGTCATAACTCAAAACTAGTCAAAAAGAAAATAAGGTTCGTGAATCGTGATGACTGGTTACGTGGTCCGTGGTCGGTAGGGTCGGTGGTCCAATGAGTGAAGACGTGCCCTTTTGGTTTGGTCTGCACTGCTGCACATGCATTGGTCCGAGGCAGCATGGAGATAAACTACGTAAAGGCCCAGTCGATTATTTGGGTGGGCCATGGCCCACACTTGAATAAACCAAACATGAAGTTCTATAAATCTCATTCAAGCACTCCCGTTTCAATTATTTCCTCCTACACTGAGCAGAGAAGTGGGAATTGTGGTGGAGTGATCCATTTCATTATTCTCCTCCTCCCATCTTCCATCAAGGAATCTGAACTCTGTACTTCTTCTTCTTCTCCTTCTTCTTTCATTATCTTGTTGTTAATGTTTCAGTTTCGGGGTTTCTCTCTAGTTCTCCCTGCTTCTACTGTTGCAATTGTATCTCCAATGGCTCTCTCATCGTTCTCTTTCCCTTTCCATTTACCCAGAGAAGTAGCTTCTTCAGATTCCCTCAAGTCGATATCGTTCTCTTCTCATCTGTTCTGCGGAGCAGATCTTCCACACCAATTCCAAAACAGACACAATAAGGTCTGATATTTCTTTACATTGAAAGGACTCGTGTAAACTAAAATGAACATGAACATGAACAATTGGGTCTGGTTCTTTTTCTGTATTTTGAAAATTTCCCCGAATTTTGTCCTGTTTTTATAGTGGGTAGTTAGATATTTTGAAATTGACGAAAAACCCATCAAGATTTTTTTGAGTCTTTTGTTACTTCCGAAGTCCCGGTTTTCGAGACAAGAGTTGTTGAAAGAAATGGGTTGTTTTGGTTGTCTGATTTGGAGCAGGTCAGGAGAAGAAGGCCAGATGGTGTCTGCGCATCACTATCAGAAAGCGGGGAGTATCACTCACAGAGACCACCCACTCCTCTATTGGATACCATTAATTATCCAAACCACATGAAAAACCTCTCCACCAAGGTACGTAGATGAACGAAGATATGCAGTATTTGTTTCACGGATCGGAAAAGCTGTATGCCGTCGTTTCCACACTAAACCGATTTATCATCTGTAACTGCATGCAGGAACTGATGCAACTAGCAGATGAGCTGCGGTCCGATATCATCTTCAGCGTTTCTAAGACGGGGGGTCACCTTGGTTCAAACCTTGGCGTGGTTGAGCTTACTGTGGCTCTTCATTATGTGTTCAATTGCCCAGAAGACAAGATTCTATGGGATGTTGGTCATCAGGTCGCCGCTTCCCCCCTTTATTTAGTTTACTTTCTCCTCAGTCCTCCTTCCATGTAGAGATTATTTTCTGTAATTTGTTTCCTGTATTTTATATCTCTGCTGACGAAGAAGACACAGAAGGTCGTGTTCAGAATTTGCTAATATAATACCCATTTCACTCTGCAGTCCTACCCGCACAAGATCCTAACAGGGAGAAGAGATAAGATGCCGACCCTTAGGCGTACAAACGGCCTATCAGGATTCACTAAACGCTCAGAGAGTGATTACGATTGCTTTGGAACGGGTCATAGTTCTACTAGCATCTCTGCAGCCTTGGGTATTTGTTTATTCTTTTCCATATCCTATATCTATGTGTGCCTTAATGTTTTGGGTTACAGAAAGCTTCCATGTGAATTTTATCCTGAACCCAACTAGATTTCTGAGGTCAAATCTTTCAGAAACCTCAGCAGGGTTGTCTGGTCATCGATTCTGATAAGTTTTCTTGGTTTTAATTTGTTGGGAAACAGGAATGGCTGTTGGTAGGGACCTGAAGGGCAGAGAGAACTGTGTGATTTCTGTAATAGGTGATGGTGCTATGACTGCAGGGCAAGCTTATGAAGCCATGAATAGTGCTGGGTACCTAGACTCAGACATGATTGTAATTCTCAATGACAACAGACAAGTTTCACTACCCACAGCTACTCTTGATGGGCCCGCGCCACCTGTAGGAGCTTTGAGCAGTGCTCTTAGTAGATTGCAGTCCAGCAGGCCTCTCAGAGAACTAAGGGAGGTTGCTAAGGTTAGTGAAGCTTTCCAGTAACAACTAATCTGTCATACCCCCCCCCCCCCCTTGTGAATCTGATCTTTGTTACAACTGAGGTTGTGGCAGGGAATTACCAAAAAGATTGGTGGAGACATGCATAAACTGGCTGCAAAAGTTGATGAATATGCCCGTGGAATGGTCAGTGGATCTGGTTCAACACTCTTTGAAGAGCTTGGTCTCTATTATATTGGTCCTGTTGATGGTCACAACATTGATGACCTTGTGGCCATTCTCTGGGAGGTTAAGAATACACGTACAACTGGACCAGTCCTCATCCATGTTGTGACTGAGAAAGGCCGGGGATACCCATATGCCGAGAGAGCTGCAGACAAGTACCATGGTAAACACTGGATTCCTGCATTTATTGCTGAATTTATTACTTGAGAAACAGACTAGTTAAGACTATCATGATGGGTTTTCTTTTGCAGGTGTAGTGAAGTTTGATCCAGCCACTGGAAAGCAATTCAAATCCAGTACTCCTACCCAATCTTACACAGCATATTTTGCCCAGGCCTTGATTGCAGAAGCAGAGGCTGACAAATACATTGTTGCCATCCATGCTGCCATGGGTGGAGGGACGGGCCTGAATCTTTTTCAACACAGCTTTCCAACACGGTGCTTTGATGTTGGAATTGCAGAGCAGCATGCTGTTACCTTTGCTGCAGGGCTGGCCTGTGAAGGTCTTAAGCCCTTTTGTGCTATATACTCATCGTTCTTGCAGAGGGCATATGATCAAGTTAGTCACCCATTTCTTTGTTTGATTTCTTGATCAATAATTTTAACTAGTTTAACGACGAGAGCCTCAGTTTTGTATAAATTGTTATTTTGGAACTCGAATTCGAACCTGAATTCTGGTAAAGCTCAATGTGGATGGACTCCATGTTACAGGTTATACACGATGTGGATCTACAAAAATTACCGGTTCGGTTTGCACTGGACAGAGCAGGGCTGGTGGGAGCTGATGGGCCGACACATTCTGGGTCTTTTGATGTCACCTTTATGGCATGCCTTCCAAATATGGTGGTGATGGCCCCTTCAGATGAGGCAGAGCTTTATCACATGGTTGCTACTGCTGCTGCCATCAATGATAGGCCGAGTTGTTTTCGATACCCAAGAGGGAATGGGATTGGTGTTAAGCTGCCACCAGGAAACAAAGGCATCCCACTGGAGGTAAATTCAACTGTGTTTCCTTGTTATTTATCCCCTGCAAATTGGGGTTGGAGGATTTAATGTTAACTATCTGCTAGTTTCCTAACAGGTTGGGAAGGGTCGCGTTTTGATCGAGGGCGAAAGAGTGGCACTCCTGGGTTATGGAACAGCGGTACAAAGCTGTTTAGCTGCAGCTTCTTTGGTGGAACACCATGGCTTGCGGGTTACGGTTGCAGATGCTCGCTTCTGCAAGCCACTTGACCATTCCCTCATTCGAAGCCTAGCTAAATCACATGAGGTTCTAATCACAGTTGAAGAAGGATCAATTGGGGGCTTTGGTTCTCATGTTGCTCAGTTCATGGCTCTCAACGGCCTTCTTGATGGAAAATTGAAGGTAGGATGACTAAATGATTGAACTGGATCACTTTTTGAGTCTCATGTGTTAATATTTGTGGGAATCAATTCAACTCTGGATGATATACTGACATAGTGGCTTGCAATTCCTGTGCAGTGGAGACCTCTGGTTCTTCCAGATCGGTATATTGACCATGGATCACCAGCTGATCAGATGGCCGAAGCTGGCCTCACACCATCTCAAATTGCTGCAACTGTATTCAGCATCCTTGGACAAAAGAGAGAAGCCCTTGAAATCAATGTCATAGAAAAGTAAATAAAGAAGAAATGGTGACGCCTCCCACCAACAATGTACAAATAGAAATTGATTTTCACCAGTGATCATGTATCATGTAAATCATAAAAACATTTCTAACAATAATGAAAATTACAGATCTGGCTTCCTCAAACTGCAGTACAATGATGGAAATAATGAAAAGAATTTGAAAAGCTTAAACTTGCAAGAGATGGTGAGATACATCATCAATGCCATTAGGATGATCAAACAACTATTTGGTATCAAAATCGAGGATGTCGAACTTTGAGGATTTCTTGTATTACTGGTGGAAATGGGAATGTCTTTCAAGTTATATTCACAATAAATCGAACCTTCTTTGGATCATAGAGCTCTAGGAATGCATTGCCAAGCAGAATCCGACTCCACTGGTTCTGGCATCAAATCTTGAACCAACTCTGCCTCTAATTCGTAGTCTAATCAGAAAATTAAAGGGGTAAATAGGAAAAAAAAATGTCGTTGAGGAAGGGGGAGACCGGATCTGCTCCTCACACCAGGGCGCCTCACTTGTGCCTCACATGCACATCGTACCATGCATTTCCGTATTTATAAGTTATTATTTATGGGAGATATTCTGATGTGCATGTGAGGCGCCCCTGTTCCGGGGGGGTGGGGGAAGGGCAACAAACACGATCCAATCCCCTACCGATTTCATCTTCCGCCAACAAAACACCTTTTAACCCCCTACCGACTTCATCCAATACCACACATCTCACCATGAGACTGAGACCCAAATGCATTCGTTGGTAGGTGATCCAAATTCCTTCAATACAAGTACCAGAGATATTACCAATGGACTGTGAATATGAACTCGTAATAATAGAATGTTCTCTTTATTTTTGTTTATTTTTTGTCTATTTTCAATGGAACTGCCCCCATTTCCCTTTTAAGGGTTGTTTGGTTTATAGTTAGAATCAGAATTTAAATCCTTCAAAATCTATTCTATTCCTATAATCTCTTTGGTTTGAACAGTTGTAAGTGTGAAAAAACTCAAAAAGGGTCAACACATAGTGATCCACGTAAACTAATTTTTAGGAGGGCCCATTTGGGCATGGTCATTGAGTCCACTACTGATTTATTGAGGGCCCTCCACTTACGGGTCAGGTTCCGTGAAAGTTCTCCCTTCCACCCGGTATGCTTCCATGTTTAGTTGCTTTCTTGCCTCAACCACAATTTTAATATTTAAAATTCACCATGATTTTTTCATGTCTTTATTAAGCTTACCATGGCTTTTCAAAACTTCTAAAGATGAGATGTCCCTGGTAGTGAGTGACACCCGTTGCGTGGTTGTTGCGATTTGTCATATAGGCCATGTTGGTTTGTATTTTTGTAATTTATACTTATTCATGGTTTTTTGATTTATAAGGTTCTCATGTAAGTACTCGAATCACATTTTTATCTATAAAAAGCTAATATAAAAATAGATAAAATTGTCTCATTTGCTTTATAAAATTTTTCATTAGTTTGGAAAGTTATTTATCCATTTAGAAGATGGGTAAGTTTTACTCGGAAAAATGGAATTTATTTTATCATAGGGCCCATTAGTAAATACAAAAAGAATATTGTAAAGCTGGTTAATGGGAAAAAGATACCTATTGACCAACTTTCCCAAACTTATTTACCAGTAAACAAACGGAGCCATATTTCAACCATAGACTTGCAATAAAAGGGGTTTTTACCCCTTGAACCCCCAAAATTAGAGTTTTTTGTTGGGAGGTATACCATGATAAAATTAACACAATGGAGAGAGATAAGAAGACCAATATGATGGAAAGGGGAGAAACGTGGGTTGAGAGAGATGGTTAGGAAGAAGTTCTTGATGAAAAGGAATAATCTTGTCTAAGTGGTTTTTTGTTGTTGTTGTTGTTATTGTGATGTAAAAGAGTTGTCAAGTGTTGATGCGTTTGTGAGGTGTTGTTGCATGGTTAGGGTTCTTGTAGGTTGTGAATTGTTTTTGATGTTGTAGCCTTCTTTCTTTTCTTGGGTGATTTCTATTAACCTTTCTCTTATGTTTTCTTTTATTTTTTTATTGAAGTTTTATTTATTATAAAAAATAACACAATTGTGAATCTACAAGGAAAGGAAATCTTGATGGATATTTTCTCTTCAAGCTTGTCCTTTGTGTAAAGCAGATGGTGAAAGCTCTTATCAATGGAAATCCAATTAGACATGCTAATCCAGTTATGCATAATAAATAAAAACGTGCTCCATTCACCTCACCCATAATAAATCATTTTTGCTTAAATCCATTACCAAACTTCTACCACCAACTAATAAAACATATATTTAACCCAGTTTGGCACTAATATTGTCCAATCAATTTATCTTCTATCTCCTCTTTCATGGTACTGAAGGTAAAAAGAAATTTAGTAATAATGAATCCAAAAAAGAAACTATACACACATCTTGGCCGGTGAGTTCATGTACAAGTGTTAGATGTTAAATTTGATTAGCAAAACTAACCAATCAAGCATTGACTTTGATACTTTTGTAACTTGGCAATCCACTAAGGCTATGTTTGGTTTGAAGGAAAAAGTAGGGTAATTGTATAGGTTTTCTTACCTTTTCCTTCAAACCAAACATATCTTAATATGCCCCTTCATCTTATCCAGTAAAGGACGAAAAAGCAATGAATGATATAAGTGATATACATTCACTCTAAACCTTTGATCATTGTGACATGGTAATTATTTGACCCCTTACTCATTATCAAAATTAAATAAATAAATTAACTCTCTACTATTTTATTTGAGTGGAGGCAATTGTAAAAAAAAAAATTAAAATTTTTTAAAATCTAAGCGAGGGCAATTGTTAAAAATTTTCATTACCATATAAAAATTTATTTTGAATGTCCCACTTTTGGTTAATCCTTGGTGGTAGGGGAGAAAGTTTCTTTACTTTTTTTTACTTCTTTACTCTCTTTCCATTTTCTATTAGCATTTTTGTTTAGTCATTCTCTTATAACCCATCATATAACAAAATTATTATATTATAATCTAATTAAATTTGAATCGAATTTAATTATAGTAATAACATTGATTGATCTAAAAGATAAACATATGTTAGAGACTTTACCGGTGAAGTTCTGTTTTTACATAATTTTCTCGCTTGACTAAGCCCGAAAACTTGGAGCAATGTTTTTATTCTTATCTCTTTAGTACAAAATCAAATGGAAGAAATTGTGTTGTATCCATTATTGATGAAAGCTATGAATATATATAATTTATACTTTCAAACATGAGTATCATTTGACAAGTGGAGAGAAATATTTTGATTTTTTGCAATATTGTATTTTCCTTGACTTTTAATTATTTATTAATAATTGGATTTATAGTTCTTCTACTCTTAGACTGTTATAGGCCAATTTAACTGTAATGTTTCCATGACAATCACCCCAAATTCTTATATCCTTTTTTTTTTTACAAGTAGATGGATACCTTTAATTTTATGAGGTTAGGTTAGGATAGAGTTGTGTTTTTTGTGTGATAAGAAGAGATTCTTAGGTACATGGGTTTTAAAAAGCAAGTTTTTTTTAACTGATTTGGAGAATGAATCGGTCAAGGGTCCAGTTCTCAGGTCCATTCTGGCAAAAAATTAAAAAAATTAAAAATGGTTAAAACCGTTGAATGATTCGTACGGTTCAATCGATCGGGTCAGCGATTTACTAACCAAATCAATATTTTTTTGGCAAAAACCTAGTTTTGAACTGACCGATTTCCGGTTTTTCTGATCCGACCATCCAGTCCAGTCCGGTTTTGAAAACCATGTTAAAAAAGGATTTAGTAAAGAGGGTAGGTGGCTTGGGAAATTATTCTGTTAGTAGTTTTTTGGGTTTGATAAATTATATATCTTACGTACATAACCTTTTTGTACAAGGATTGTTTTCTGTATATCATATAATAAGTTTATCTATCTAATATAAAATTTGTAGTGCATTGATTGTTTGTTTGCCTTAAATATTTTGTAATTTTCTAATCATTTGCTCTTTTAAAACATCAAACAAGATTTCATAAATCAAGCAACCAATTAAATTATCCCTATTGAATTATTATTAAGTTTATTAGTAATATTAAAGCAAAGTTATTGACTTATTAGTTATTTAATCAAAATTATTGTAATTTTATCTATTTAAAACCTTATGTAGTCTACCTCATTGTTTTTATGAATACAACTTTTTTGTTCATCAATTGAGGGACAACAATATGAAGTCAAGAAGTTTATTTTCATCTAGCTTTATCCCTCATCTTCATTTCTTCTTCCTATAAGGGGACAAAATACAAAAATAAATTAGTATCAACAATAGTCTTTTTAAGCCTTCTCTAACATCTAAATTATATGATTTCATCGTGTCACCCTCATTATTGGCAGGTCTAGGACCTTTGATTAATGGAGACCAGCATTATCATAACATCAACATAACATTTGAGTAATTAAAATAAAAATTTAGATTAAAACATTTTAAGAGAAATAGATACACCTCACCCCTTTGAAAAAAAAAAAAACCATAAAATTAGCAAACCATTTAACACCAATCTTCTATAAGAAACAACCATTAAAAAAGAAAATATAAATGTAAAAGTAATTTTATTCATCCAAACAATGCAGAGATAAAAATAATAATAATATATTTAGAAATATAAAAAATAGATAAAATATTAAATAAACACAACAAAATGCATGTACAATCATATGAAAAAACCTATAACAAATAAGAACTCGTAAGAATAATAGTATTTCCAACAGGTTTTGATTAAGGCAAAGAAATAAAGGTGATCAACAAAATAAAAATTATAATTTGAATTTGTAAAAGCAAATTATTTATTTTAGGGAAAATAGAGTCCATAATAATACAATGATAGAATGTAAAGAATCTAAGTATCTAATTAAATACTTTCAATGAAAATTTATGATAGACACCTTTTGTATTTTGCTTGATAAAACATAAAATAACTTTTTGTATTTTGTAAATGGATTCATAACAAATAAACTAGATATTATCAAAACTAGTGTCTGTATGCCTTATTTTCAATAAAAATTTATGACAATTTATCATTCGTTTTTTGCTTGATGAAACAAAAACTAACTTCCTGTAATGAGAATAGATGGTTCGAATGAGCCCTTTAGCTTTTAGGCTCAGTCTGGAAGGAGTACAAATGCAAATTTGTAGAGTGTAAAACCTTGTATTTTGTATGTGTTTGTACTCTAGAAATTTGTATTTGTATTCCTTCCAAACTGAGCCTTAGGGGTAATTCTTGAATATTAACTCTATTGTATAACCGACAGAAAACCTTGGACCTCCTATCTGTAAATATGTTATCATGTGTTACTGTTTGAGATGAGAATTTGCTAAGCTTTTTCATTGTTTTGTGCAGAAAAAAAAAAAACAAAAAAACAAAAAATTGTACTTTTGGAAGAGTTCCTTGTTGGGTTTGAATAAATGTGTTCAACATTTGTTTCCCTAGCTCAATATATTTGGAGTTCAGATCTTCTATTCACAAGAATCCTACTCACACCTACCTATGCATTAGACATTACTACAGCCGCATATTGAGAAGATCTCCAATAGTTACATGTTAGTATGTTATAATTCATGGGAAGATGTTCTCAATGTACAGCTAGATTTATATTTGTATCTTTGTAGAAAGAAGTATTTATACATGGAGAACTTTGGGGAGTGTTTTTTTCATACGTGGTTGATGGCACCTGGACTTCTTTCAAGAGAAGCTTCCCATGCATCAATATACTTATTTATATTTTTTTGGCTGAACTACTTAAAGATTATATACCTTAGCGTATTCTATCCTATATAGAATTTGAGCCTCAGGATACGACAGTGAACTACTTAAAAGATTGAACATTTTTCTCTAACGATGACATCATCATTTCTATTATTATCATGGGAGATGTTCTTAATACACGATGGGGATGTGTTGTGGGACGTTGTGGGGGATGATTTGATCTCAACTATGATTTGCCAGATTTTCTGGATTACCTTGTAACTATTGCATGTAATGTACTGTTTAGTGTTTACCCCCCCCAATTAATGATTCTCATCTTCAATTCATGTCCTCTGTGCCTCTCTGGATTCTAAAAGCTGTTCTTGCAAATTCTTAGTTTAACAAATCTACAACCTCTTATGTTTCTCTTCCCCTGTTAGGCATAAAGAATTGTTTCCAATATCATACAAGTTTGACATACACAGTCATTGCCTTTACCTTTGACCTAGAAAACCAGTGAAGATTTCCATCTACTTTGCATGGCATGAGTATTGCTATCCTTCAAGCAGTCAAAACTGCCATGTTATAGTGATTGAAAAATGAAAAGAAGATGCTTGCTACTTAGTTAGTACATGCTGTTTTTGTCCCTGTGCAACCCCAGAATGTGACCTTAGATTTCTCCCACCAACACAGACCATCTGTTTGAAATTATAGGTTATGCTCTTTTTTAGGCTTCTCTTGGTAAATTAAATATGAATAGGTCTGCCTGGATTCCTGAAGTGCTTCATCTAATGAATTGTTTTATATCTGATTTTAATTTGACAGCATCTCGACCGAGAAAATGCTATTGGATAGGAGCCGGGATCTGCTCCTCACAAATGGGTGCCTCAAAAAGGCACATCCATCGTGCATTGGGAACATTTGCCGTGAATAATAATTAATAAGTACAGGAGATGTTTCCAATGCACGATGGATGTGCCTTTGAGGCGCCAGTTGTGAGGAGCAGATCCGATCTCCTTGGATAAACTCCTCCATCCTGTGAGGCGCCAGTTGTGAGGAGCAGATCTGGTAGGCGCCTGTGACTGGGAACTAGTCAGGTGATCGGTTCCATTTTACCCCATAATTGTTATTTTGCCAAAAACTGTTGATTTGGTCAATAAACCACTGGCCCGGGCAGTTGAACCGTCCAATCTATCCAATGGTTTTGACCATTTTTTTATTAAAACAGGCCATCTGTCTGGTTCGAATGGTCGGACCGTTCAACCTGAGAACCAGACCTCTGATCGGTTTGTTGTCCGGTTCGATTTTAAAAACCTTGTTTTGTAATATATGATATATAATGTTTTATATTATACAGTATGTTGCGGGTAAAATTTCTGGGCCTGAGCCTGAACACAAAACCTAACCTAGGCCCAAGCCTGGAATTTCCGGGTCAGGCTAGGCTGGGCTTTCCAGGTCAGGCTGAAAATGGTCACCCCTACTTGGGAGTTGGGACCATGACGACCATTGCCCGAAGATGAAGACCCTAACGGTTTTAGGGGTTCAACTGGCCAACCTCGTCTGGTTTTCAGAACATAAAGAAACTGAAAAGACCCAACATCCTTAGACAATGAATGATCAGAAAGAGTGAGACTGAAAAAGCTCATAAGAATTTAATTCCTGATTTATATCATCAAAGATCTTACGAGTCCATGCAAAATTACCAGTTCAATTTTGGGCACCAGAGCACCAGACTCCAATTCTGACGGCTTTAGATATCTCTGACCACATTGAGCTACAATTATACCAATATTACTTCTTACTTATAGAAAATATAAATATCCAGTGACAAGTAGATAAATTACAACCCTTTGCTTTGCTCTATATCTATACAATGAGACCTACAATCTACAAAGCAGCTGCGCAATTTTTGATGACATTTAAAATGCCAGAATGCAAATGGAGATTACTTGATTGGGAGAATTCCACAAAACATGCTAACATATTCAGCCATACTTATCTGAACAACCAGACTGAATGAAGTCTGTGTCAAGCAGCACTGGCCATAGACTCGATTAGAAGCTGGTAACCTTCTGGCACTGTTGTTTGTGCCTGCACGCACCCTGCCAATGCAGGAACATCTGAACTGATGTCCAAAAACCTAGCTACCAAAAGCAGCAGGTGAGAGTCAGAAATTCGTTTCACAAATGGAAGGCGTTTTGTCCGATCCAGGTGATTCTTTAGTGCCTTCATAGTCACCGGATAATTCCTATTTTCAATGGGAAAGGTCGATGAGAGTGGCCCCTGCACCAGCATACAAGTACAGTTAGTTAATCCTTCAGTGCTGATCGTTTTCAGTTTTGGGTGCAAAACAAAAGACAAAAGGGCTTTTTTTNGGGGTTGGGGGAGGAGAGTGTGAAGGAAGAGAATGTTGATTGACGGAAAAGGGGTCATGTCCACCTATTATCCAGAATGCAACCATATTATGGATAAAGATTTCCCAATCGGGTCAAGAAGAGAGCTTCCTCAGAGAGGAATATCAAATATGTGGCAATCAAGACTGTTCATCAGACAAGGGACCTCTGGGTTGGTCATGTGTTGAATCTTGCACTCTAAGGGGTGCTTGGAACTTTGGCAACATGATTAGCTTTGTTTTTCAAACAAAAACAACAACCACTTCAGCAAAATCAATATATTTTTTGCTGTTGTGGCAGTTTTTGTTTTGAGAAACAAAACCTACACATTGGCAAACACCTTCTATTCAATATTGAATTGGAATTTGATTGATAATAGCCCTCCCAATTTTCAATTGTCTTTTCAATTTAAAAGGTGCAAATAAAGAAGAGTCTCTCTGTAACACATGGCAAGGTCTTTTGGCCAACCCATGAATATAGGATGATAAGAGGAATTTAGGGACTCCTTTTGAGCCCCAAGGTTTTTCTATTGGTAGAAGTAGAACCCCGTACTAATTTCCCATCTGGATGTTTGATGGGTCATTTAGACTCTTTTACTAAATGAACCAACCAGCAAACCCTCTCATTTATGTCATTAAATATGAAATGGCAATATAAAAAGAGAATTACCCAGAAAAAAAAATTAAATCAAAGAACCCATTAGGATTCCTCCATTACAAATTATGCAAGTTTGCAGATTTTACTTTGCTAATATACCTCCCCTCACTTTATAGGTAATGCCTGAAATTTCCCCCGACTTTTAGATACCTCCAAAGAACACCCTGTCAGAAGGTTTTCTAAAATCACATTTTCTTATAGCCTCGTAAAAAATAATTTTAAAATCACAATACCCACTTGATATCAACAAAAGCAACTGCCACACACATAGCATCAAGTCTCAACTATGGATAGTAGCATTTCTGCAAGTCAACTTTAGCAGTAACACCTCAGAGTAGAAGTCCTTGTAATAGTGATGGTATACCATTTTTATATGCATGGTATTATAATCATAAAGTTTTCCTTGCAATGACTTACAACCCAGTTCAGCAAGAATTTGACACATGCTGGGACAAAAAATGAGATCTTCAGTACAAAAAATAAACCAGATATTTGGGGGGTTGGGGGGATGTCTTTGCAACAGAGGGGTGTTTGCTGACATGTATGATTTGTTTTTCAAAAACAAAACAACTGCAATGTCAGGAAAAAAATATTGTTTTTGTTTTGAAAAGAAAATTCATACATTTGGCAAACACCCCCATAATCTATACAGATACCTAGTCATACCCATCCTATCTTCCTAATCTGTTATTCCAGTTGGTAATCAAAAGATGATTCCTACCCTGCTAGCTGCTACTACCTTGGTGGGTGAGCATTTAATTGAACCCACAAAGCTCACATTTTTCCAGTTGGCTACTGGCAAAGGCAATGCACTATCATATGTCACTTAATAATTTCTGAAAGTTTGGTATTGAAGAGAACAATGCATATTTGCCTGGTTGCTTCTTAAAGTCTATGACTCTATGCAGCTGATATCCTCAATCTTAACTAACCTGGCTGTTATTTAATTTTCTATGTTGGATTGCATTAAAAGAGAAAAATGTAGTTTATAATCCCCTTGGTTTTATGCAACTACAATTGATAATTTGATATATAGTATGATATCTGGCTATTTCAACTAGATGAATATCATACTGCAATAATAGTGAAAATTTCAGAACAGAATAGGTGAAGACAGATCGAAAAAGGTTATACATTAAAGGGAACACTAAAACAACAAATTTTGATAGCTGAAAAAAACGCACCTGATGATCCACAATCTTCACCACCACCAAGAAGAAATCGTTGTCGACTTCCTTGGTGTCCTTCACTCCGACCATCACATCCTTCTTCATCCGAGAGAGCTTGGGATCAAATCCTTCTCCACAATCCGTCTCGAACCACCCTTCTTTGAACAGTCTAACGCACATGTCACTCATCTGAAACGCCTCAAAATGCACGTCTGCACCACCATCTTCATTCACTTCCAATTTAACCACCGCCGTAACCCACTCCTTGAGCCCACTCTGCCCGTGAAGCTCTGCCGCCTGTAGTATCTCCGAATTCGACAGAGTATAATCCTTCTTGTTCTGCCCGATCGTCTGCGTGAATATAAACCCTACCCTCCTCATTCCCAACCCCAATGCAATCGCCTCAACTAGGTTTTCCTCATCAGGGTCCCTCAACAAAATCAAATTTCCCTCCGTCCCTTGCTGCGGCGGTTCGTAGATGAAATTCACCTCAACCTTTCCGCCCTCCAGTACCGAACCATACATGAACCCTCCTCGTTTAACAGCAAAGGCGAGCGAGTCATTCACGTAATGCTGGAAAGCATTGGCGGCATCCCGATCGAAGGAAACGGAATCGCAATGCGGATTCTCCTGGCGCGTAATCCTCATCTGCTTGGCAATGAGATCGTTCATGGTCATCTTCTTCCCGAACGAGCCCGCCCGATGGAAAGCGGGCCCGGCGACGGATCGTTCGCCCTCGTAAGCCAGGTAAACCATGGAACCGTGCGAGATTCCTAGAGAAGAGATGGATGTTTGGGGGTCAGACATGTCAGTGAAGCGACGACGGTCATGTGGGGTTTTTGCGAGGAGCAAATTCCGGTTGGTGGATAAGGTTTGGTTATAGACAGGAACCCTAAGCTGGTTCTCTATTAAGGTCTTGAGGGCGGAGACGGTGGTACGAGGATTGTCGACGGTGACTCGCTCCAAACCATCTCTGCTACGAACCCTGATCATCATCATCTTCGCTGGCGCTGTGTCTACTGTCTAGCGATTAGCAGGGAGATAGAATTCAGTATTTATCTCTGGTTCTATGGGTGGGATTTTATAGACATCTTTTTTGCATGAAGTATGCTGTAAGTAATCTACAGAATCCATGCGATCGAATATCGGTGCAGTCAGTTGTAAGTGATTAGGATTCAAACTATCGAAGTAATTCTGATTCTTTCTCGTAAGAAAGAGAAAGAAAGGGTTAAATACTTAAACCGTCCTCTGCTTGGTAATAAATGCTTAAACCACCATCTAGTTTCTGAATTTGACAAAGATTCCCTTGTCAGAAACGTCTGGCTAACGGAAAGTTTGCCATTTTTCCCTCATTACAAGGAGATAGTGTTTTACGGGTAGGTATGGATAGAGTTATTGTAGGCGGGAGATCCCGAAGTCCATTCTTTCACGTTTATTTTCTTTATCTTCTTTCTTCGTATAAGAAAAAGGGAAAATCTTGAACTTTGAGGATTGTATCTAGTTAGTCCCTAAAATTTTAAAATATATTTAATAGGTCTCTATCGTTAACAGCCCGTCACCTTTTGATAGAAGAATTATTCATTGTCCAAGCAGGCAACGAATCCCCCCCCCCCCTATTCAGTGAATCAATTAGGCACTCCCAAGAGACTCGGATTGAACTTCTCAAGCTTGGGGGAGTGCCATCGAAGGGGTATAGCCGTCGCCAACACCAGGAGCACATTCTTGGTGGATGTCGTCGATTATTCTGTTGGGTTGTTGCTTGATGTCCTTAGAAGGATCTCGGCTGCCGATAGCTATGTTCGTCGAGGGCTTTGGCCTGTCCGGGGAGAATTTCCTCTCGGTCACAAGGTCAGTCGGTCTTCTCCTTCTTTCTCTCTTCTCACTATTTTCTTGGTTTGATGTCTACCATCTCTACGCAATTTGGTAAAAATGTATATTAATTCTGCAGTCCCAATTAAAGCTCTAATCCTCTCCAGTTCTACTCCTAAGACTGGGATTAGGCTAATTAAGCCCAGTATCGTTTGGTTCCCGCATGCAATAAGGCACGTGACTTCAACTATCTGATGACTAATTGGTGGCGGCTAAGGTGGTGTTCGACACCACTTCATTTCGGTCCCATCTACGGGATGAAGACCCATTTGACTGGGTGTGGACGGGATCGTTCCACGCCACACCCCAATATAGCATGGACTGGTCCTATTCACACCCCAATATAACGTCAACGGGAAAAACTCGTGGAAGCGTCCCCTCCACGGTTTATTTTTTATCTCATTCTTTACAAGTTTCTTTGAAACCCTACAACAAATTTTAGTTTGCATAAATCGTTAGATGCCATGCTTATCTTGTAAAAATTTCTTTTATCAATTGTTTAAATATTATTTTTAATATTTTTGTCAATAAAATATTAATTATTTTACTTAAATTTTTTAATGTTTTTATCAATAAAATAATATTTTTTAAAATATTTAAAATATATTTTTTATTTTTTTTAATTATTTTACTATTGTTTTATAAAAAAATAATATTTATTGGTTAATATTAATTCATTGATGCATTTTTCAAAATATTTATCATATAAAATGCAAAAATTAGATATTTATGATTAACTGTGTATACCATTCATAAAATGTATATGATATGCATGGAATCAAAAGTCCACACCAGGCTACAGAACACCACTGCAATCCACACAGTTTGTCCACGAATTCAGAACAATTGTTGACTATGGTGTGGTGTGGATTAGTCATTGCCACAGGGTGTGGTGTGGATTGGTCCACACTAGACCTGTTCATGGGCCGGGTGGCCTGACGGGTTGGCCCGGCCCCCGGACGAGCTTGAACAGGCTTTTTGGCCCGCGAACTTAACCTCGGGCCAAAAAGCCCGGCCCGCATAAAATTCAAGCCGAGCTCGGGCTTTGCCAAAATAGCCCGGCCCGAGCCCGACCCGACCCGACCTATAGTTAAAACCTAAGTAAAAACCCTATGCGATGTCCATTTGAATAATTTTTTTGATTCAAGAAGGTTGTTGATTCACTTGTAGGCCCATTGTTCATTTAAATAGGGGAAAAAATATCTGAATTAAAATAGATAATGTCCATTTGAATAGGGAAAAATTCAAATTTCTTTTATTAGGTTGGGCTTCGGGCTTTTTATCAGGGCTGGGCTTGGGCCCAAGTTGTAGGCCCGTTGGTCGAGCCGGGCTCGGGCTCGGGCTCGGGCCTAACATTTTTCTATTAATAAAGAGTAAAAGCCTGGCCCGAGCCCGGCCCGGCCCATGAACAGGTCTAGTCCACACCCACCAATTTCTCATCCACACTACGGAACACCCCTAAGACCGCCAAGTTTGGATGGATGTAGGTTGTTTAGTGTGGTGGGTAGGTGAGAGACTGGTTTGGTCTGTCCAAATTATCGTTTCTTAGACTAAAAGAAAAAAAAAGGAAAAAAGAGGATTTTTTTTCTTGGCAACGTCAGTCTCAATCAAACAGTAGATCAATAAGTGTAAACCAAAAGACAAGATGGAAAATGGGCATGCCGTGGTTGTGGTGGCGGAGGGGCGGGGCAGGATTTGATACCTAGAAGTGATGCACAAAAAGAGAAGTATGAATCTAGAAACCCAGTGTTGTTGGATGTTGGGGGTGGTTCAAATCAATTGGAGCTAAAGCCATGGTGGGCAAGAGATCACACAGGGGAGTTGTTGACGATGAAGTATGTAGACCAAATGTATATGATGCATGCAGTCCCTCTGCACGCGATAGGCAACTTGTACTATATGCTACTGGGGCACTCAGTGATTCATGGGGTGATGGTGAATGCATGATACTATGCAGTTGGAGAGTATCATCGCTATCATCATAGCAACAACCGGTTCAGTCTCAAGGTAGAAGACAATGAACAATGTCTTCTTTGAAGGCAGAAGACAATGAATAGTGTCTCTTTCAAAGGGTAGTTTTGACATTTAAAAAAGTTTTAAGTGGCACATGTAATCACGTGATACAAATAACCAGGGGCGGAGCCAAGGGGGGACCTAGGGGAGCCATGGCCCCCCCTATGGTTCAGAAGCTCCCCACTGAAAAACAGATTTCCATGTAAATTTTCTCCTCTCTCCACTCTCCATCTCAATGGTTGGCCTCCCCTATGGGCCCATCCATACTTCATTTATGTTTTGACCCCCCTTATAACAATTTCCTGGCTCCACCCCTACAGGTAACTGACGGACTATTAATGGTAGAGACCTATTAGACACATTCTAAAAGTTTGGGGTACTGCATGGACACATTTGAAAGTCCGGGGACTAACTAGACACAACCCCCTAAGTTCGGGGTAATGATCAGGGTGCAGATAACTGACGGACTATTAATGGTAGAGACCTATTAGACACATTCTAAAAGTTTGGGGTACTACATAGGCACATTTGAAAGTCTGGGGACTAATTAGACACAACCCCCAAAGTTCAAGGTACTGATCAGGATTTTTTCCTAAGAAAAACCTAAACCATCCCCCTTTACCAGCAAAATGCCCCCAACACTTTACGAACAGGCCATTGCCCCCTTTACCAACAAAACGCTCCCCAACTCTTTATGAATATGCCATTGTAGTTGCACATTGAGAAGATCACCCTTGACATTCATGGAAGATGTTCACAATGTGCAGCTGCAATGGCCGGTTGGTAAAGTGTTTTGAGCGTTTGGTTGGTAGTAGACCTGAATTCTCCCGTATTGGCACAAATTACCATTCCAATATTAAATTATTTATAAACCTTCCCTGAATTTTGACCTTTGTAAAAACCTCCCTCACGTTTGTGATAAATTATACTTGAACCTCCTGTTAACTATACTTGATCTTTTCAAAATTACCCTTTGCATTGTTTTCTTTCTTCTAGACTATTCCTGCTTAGATCATCTTAAGGATTCCCGCCAAAGCCCCAAATTTCATAAGTTTTTTTAGGGTGTCAATGGTCAGTGGACCGAGTTTAGGTTGAATCCCATCCAAATAAAAAACAACTTGAATTGGACCAATGCAGACCTAATGGTCCAAAGTATTTATGGAGTGGAGGACCTGGTTCACTTGTAATGAATTCACATTGGATTATGTCAGGTTGAATTAATATCTAGTCCATTGGCATAAGATAAGAGTAGGGATGCCAATAGACCGGGTTTGGTTGGACCCAATTGGAATAGGTTGGTAAAATATATTGAATTGGACCAATCCAAACTTAATGGTCCAAAATATTTTTATTAGATTGGATTGGACCTAGTCTATATGTAATGCTCATATTGGGCCAGGTCGGATTGGACCAATTGGTGAATTTGCTCCTCACACCGACCTCATGACCACTTCCCACCATGTATTGAGAACATCTCCCCTCAATAATAATATACAAGTACAGGAGATATTCCTAAATGTGCAGATGAGACATGCTGCCATGTCAGCGTGAGGAGCAGATTAGGACTCCCTAATCACATGGGACATGGATCATGGCCTGTAGATATGCATAAACATGTCGTCCGTCACGAGAACCTTTAAAGTAAATATCAAATTCATTCCAAGCACTTAAAAGTTGAAATGGGCATGGTGATCAAATTTTCCTCCTACTGTAAGTTCATTGAGCTAATTAATTAAAAACTATTTACTCGAAAAATTATGTGGTTAACAAATGTATATCACACGCACACACAGGCTGCCTCAATCTTGTTTTGAGAAATGCAATCATAGGTACAAAGTTGCATGATCAATGTAGTCTCTTGCCATTCAATAAAGTATATGATTCCCTTCCTTGATCAATGCATTCTCTTGCCAATGAAGAAACTGCAAGGAATATGAAGATAGCAAACTGGCTTTTACACCAAGCAGGAGATCATGACCCCTTTTATTTTCCATTTATCTTTGTAGGCTAAGGACTAGAAGACAAGCCAACTTTCTAAACCTACGAGAGACAAATGTCCAGGGGGAACAAAAGTGTTAACATCTCCCCATGAATGACTAGTGAGATGTTCCCAATATTGGGGGCAGGGTTGGTAGTGTTTTGTTGGTAGCATATCCCTAACCTTTTCATTCATCTCCTAGGGTACAGATCTGCATCAATCCATCGCTCATGAGCATTTTCTCAACCCAAAGAAAAAGAATATGGATCTCCTCCCAACGAAAAACCATTCCAATACATTCCAAGATGATTTGTGTG